CTGGGATCTCTCTGCACAAGCCGCAGCTCCTGAGATCATTGAGCGCCGCACCGAGTCGCAGCGCACGTCTCTTCCCTCCGTCCCTTCCCATCACACGAACACAAACACATCCCTTCTTTTCTCTTTTTCCCTCCCCGGTCGAGGCCTAGAAGTTGCTGAGAAAAACCCGTACGGAAGCGCGGGGAGGTGGTCGGTACCCTGAGTGCAGGGCTGGGTGCTCAGAGAGGGGCAGGAGCATCCAGCTCTGAGTAAGCACAAGAACTTTGGGCACCTTGGGGGTCCAAAACGTGTGGCTGGAAGCCTCTGGGAGCCTCTGCCCTTTCCCCTTAGTGCTGTCTCACAGTCCTACGGTTTGTGTTCCCATTGCCTTAATGACATTTCACTTAACGCATCAGATCAGAAGAGTTTTCAAGGAAATGCTAGAAATTAGCTGTCAAAAATGGTTCAGGAGAGGCACCAGCTCAGCCACAGAAATCTTTCCGCCTGCCCTTTATACCATCACCCCCCTCAAAGCATGACACAATATTATTAGCTTAAAGAAAAAAACAACCCCAAACCCTATTTACCCTGAGAGAGCAACTCCACAGTACACCTCCCCTGAGCCGTTTGCAATTCAAATAAGGCCTCGAACTGCACAGATTTTAAGGTCTGGCTGACAGAAGCCAACAGCCAGAGCATCCCTCTGAGACTGCCACGCTTCCAACCGCAGCTGGAGCCACGGGGCCACGCGAGCATCCGTCCCTGCCCCGCAGGCAGCTGCCCAGCAGGGACCGGGACGGGGTCACGGCGCTGCCTAATTCATCCCCTCCTTGGTTGCCTGCCCTGGAGATTTATGCAGAGCTGAGATGATTTATTTCAAAATAAATAGATGAGTTTCGTGGCAGGTTGGAGGTGAACGGTTGCAATTTCAATACTCCCCTGAAATTACTTCTGCATTTTTTTAAGGAACATTTATTTTTTATCTCTCTGTAAGACCTTTCCTTTTGAGGAGCCCAAAGCACCTTGAGAGCCTGCATAAGCCCTGATCCCTATGGCAATTTGAAGGAAGGAAATGCAATTCTCTCTCTAAGAGGGGAAACTCAGCATCGGGGGCCTTGGGGAGGTTTTGCCACCCATCCTTCATGGCTTCAAATGGAATGGACCCATGGATGGAAATTATGGGAGCACCAGGGGGACACAGACCCAGAACAGGGCTTGCAGCCCCCAGGGCTGGGCAAAATGGCTTTGTCAAATGGACACAGGGATTTTCTGCCTGAATTTAAGCTCACACGGAGCTGGATGTCACTTTATAAACCTGTGCTGGATTAAAGCTCAAAGGGCTCTCCCAGGACCTTTTCCATCTCACCCTCCTGCCTGCCGCCCGTCACGTTGGCCGAGGATATTTAAAGCCCGCTCAGAAATACATTCCCCTCCCTTAAAAACATCAATCCTCAGACTTAACCGGTGATCCATCCCCTCCCTGTGCACTATTAGCACATTAAGAAATTAAACGATAAAACTCCCAAAGATCCGATTGACTGGGATCGCGCCGCTCCATATGGCACGGCATATGTGTCCGGCCCTCGGCCGGGATCACCGGGATGTGCTTGGCCAGGCTGGGCTGGGAAAGGGGTTTCAAGGCAAATTCAGATGGATTTAGAGCTACTTCATTTTTCTTTTTTTTTTTTTTTTCCCTCTCACGACATTTCAGTTCTCTGCTCCACCCCCAGCGCCAGAGGGAAAGCTGTGGAGGTGATGTACGTCCCTAAATAAAGATGCAGAGCCTGGCTTTGCTGGAGGAGGTCAGGTGAGGCTATTTAACACTTTGCAGCCTCCTCGAAGGCTTTAGAAAAGGATGCCAAACCCCCAAAGCCACCTCCCCACAAGCAGCTTCATGTCTGCTGGGGATGATGGCAGAGGTGATGCCGGCTGGATGGGCCCCTGCAGGTGGAGGGAAAAAGTCCCTTTCCTTCCCTACCCACCCCAGGATAAATCCCCTTGCAGCAAACAAAGGGCTCTGGGCCTCGCTGGGAGCTTTCCCTGAACGACGATGCAAAGCCTTTGGAGGCTTTTTCACCACCTTGGTGGAATTTAAACCTTTCCTTTAATTTCTTTCTGGGGCTCACTTGAATTGTTACGCACTGGGAGGTGCGAGGGGAGCAAAGATGGCACCTGGATTCCTCCTCGTGCCTGGCACTGCGGGATGGACGGGTGGACAGAGCCTGCACCACAAAACTTAGCTCTAAACATGACCTAAAACAGCTTAGCAGGGATATACATGGAGAAAGGGATTAACCACCCTCGCTCCCCAGCCAGGAGCAACAAATCCCATTAACACCCCGTCCCTGGGAGGGGAAATTCCGCATCCACTGGTCCCCGAAATAGGGACCTGCCGCATTGACGGAGTTATTTATTTCAAATAAAGATCCCAGCCCGTGGCAATGTCTCCTGCAGAAGCTCCGTGGTGAGAATTAGGGATTTTTGTGGGAAGCTTCGGCATCGCTGTGAACCAGCCTGGCCGTGTTACCCTAGTGCAACGCCTGTGCCGGCTGTTCACCTCCTAAATAGTTAATTCCTGGAGACTGTGAGAAGCTTAAATATATATCAGGATCAGATGCAGTCACCTATAGCTCCCCTTTCTGCAGGATTTCTCAGGGTTACTCAGAGAACTGGGAGCAAAATTCGGTGAGGGGGGTATGAAAAATATCCCTCTGCCTGAAAAACCTCTCTCTCCCCCAAGTAATTTGATTTAAAGCAGGGGAATTACTCACCGAGGTGATAGGTAGGAACCATGCAAAATATAGTGGGGGGAAAAAGAAGCTGTTAGAGACAACAGCAGGAGAAAAACTCAGTTATCTATGGTAACAGTCTGGAGACTGATTTATCCAGCGTATAAATAGAGCGGGAGAGGCTTTCGCGCTGTAGACGCTCCGATGGGGAAGTGAAAGTTGATTTTACCCTCCCCTTTTGGGTTCAGCTTGAGAGGAAAACTTCCCATTGATGCAGCAGCTCCACGGAATGAGACACGGCACCAAATTCCAGAGGAAACGGGCCCAAACTTTCTCCCCTCGCCACCGTGCTGGGCGCAGCCATGGGATGCGATTCCAGCATCCCCCCCTTTCCCCACGTAGCCATTCCATCTTAATCAACATCCAAGCTCTCCTCAGAGCTGCCCTCTCCAAGCCCCCAAATATTATTGCTTTGTTTACTACTGGGTTTTATGGAGGATGAAAGCTGATGGACCAGATCCCTCTTCCAAGTATTTAATTCCCTTTCATACTTTAAATAATGTTGCTTCACCTACTGGCTGTAGAGATTAAAAAAAACAACAAAAAAAACAACCCAAAACCCCTGGAAGCCAAGAATTAATTCCGAAATTTCCCTGGAGGGGGGGGGGGGGGAAATCATCGAAAGATCTCCAAGCTTCAGGTTTTAAAACATTCATCGTATTTAGGCAAAATCTAGTGGAGCAAGCACAGGGAAAAGAGGGAAGATGCAGTGTCAGGTTGGAGCCTTGTTCAGCATTTTGAGTAGTGTAACATGTTTTAGAGGGAAAAACGTGGGGCTGCGAGGGAGATTTCAGGGCTTGTCTTGGTTATACCTGGAATGTTCATCTTTAGGACCCACAAACCCCATCGTGCCATTTGTCCCCCTCATGTTCGGTGCCTCCATCATTTTAGGACAATTTGAAGAACTGATGAAACCCCCAAAACTCCCTTTGCCTTGCTGGGATTTGCTCTCTGTTTTCCAGGCTGTTCTGCCAGAGCAGCAGCGGCTTTGAAATCCCGTCGCTCCCGTTTTTCCGGCGGCATTTCCCAGGGAGTGCATCCCCCTATTGTCCCTCAGGTCAGCAGAGAGCCCCAGATCAGGTAAAGTCCCTTTTGTGCCGTATCCCACAATATCCACGTCTGCCTAGCGTGCGTTTCCCCAACGCAGATTCCACTGGCATGGAAGAGCAGATGGCTCAGGTAGCGGATTTAAAGCAGTCCCAGCCCACCCCCAGGCCTGACCTATATCCAGGAAGAAGGAATGGATGCCAGGAATACCTTTGCTTTCCCCTATGTCCATCATACATCTCTGGATTTTTTTTTCCCCCTCCCCATCAGCTGTCAAAAAATAAAAAAAGAAGGGAAAGGGTAAAAAAAAAAAGGAAAAAAAAAAAGCAATACCTTCCTGACTGATATTTACACAAGTAAATATTTTTTATGTATATACAGTCAGTATGAAATGATTTTTAATGAATTATCTGTGAGTGAAAACAGTTCTGTAAATCAGCAGGGCTGCAGGCAATTTTTACCATATGTCGGCTCGCATTTGTATCACGGAATTTGTTGTGGCGAGGACGAAATATCTGCTTTTCTTTCCTTGCTGATGTGCTAGAATTAGGATCTACATAACTCAGTGCGTTTAAGCAGGAATATTGTCTGGTTTTATTGGACTATTATTAATGCAAAGGAGGCCGTACCCTATTCAGCTCTGCACACCCAGCCAGCGAGAGCTGCACGGGAGCAGGGAGAAGCTTGAATTACATCAAAAATCCCTATTTTTCTCCCATAAAGCATCCTTCAAACCTTCCTCCAGCAGGTTTCCAAGAGTAAATCAGCAACTCACACAGCAAAAAGGAATATCTGTAAAATATAAGCTATGCTCTGCTCTGCACATCCATCCTCCCTTCCCCCTCCATAAAATAACATCTGAATTCCTAATGGCAATAAGGATGAATTACTTAATGTATGGAGGGGGGGCTCAGGCTAAAAACACATCCCAGGATAATGCTGGGCTTTAACAGCACTGTATTTACCCCTAAAGCAAGGGGGTGAAACAGCAACCAGAGCCCCAAAACTAGGAATTGACACCTCAGACTTTTCAAAATGCAGGTGAAAACTTCTGCCTAATTCACGGTAGGAATAAATTTAATACATTGCTCCTAAATTCAGCTACTAAACCAAGACAAAAAGCAAAGGATGGGTGTGTGTGTGTGTGGGGAGAAGTTTAACACAAAACCAAACCAAAATTGTTATGAATATCACATATTCCTGCGTTCTGGGGATTTTATTTCAGAGCTGTTAACACCGAGGAAATGTTTGAATTCTATTTAATCAAACAGTGTCGCAGGGAAGGTCTCCAGCCTGATTGTCCATCGTTTATCCGGGGCTGAACGGGAAGGTGGGGGATGTCAGGGAGGGAGGGGAGGCCTCTGGGAAGAGTGGTCCTGGATCTGCACCCCGAACAAAGAGAGGTCACCCCTGTTTGTATCCGGGTCCTGCACATCCAGGGATTTGCCACTGGCTTCAACGGGAACAGGATGCTTTTCCTTTTGCCCACAGGAATATTCCTGGATGCTGCCTAAAGCAGGGGGGGGGGGGGGGGAAAGGGAGAGAGGTTGAAATTTATTTTTTTTTTTAAAGAGAGAATAAAAATCATAAATAATAAAATACTTCAAAAATCCCAAAGACAATTCCTGCCTTTCTGCCCCTGTTGTCACCCCCTCTCCCTCTCTGCCAGGCCAGGATGCAGCCCCGAGCCAGAGGACGGCAGCGATTCTGTAATGACGTAATGCTGAGATGGAAAATGTCATAACCATTTGTCACCAAACGCCCCGTGCACCCAGATGAAGCAAACAGTGTGAGACTGACAGGGCTGATGAAAAACAGCACTTAAGCTAATTTTTTTCTCCTGCTAAACTCCGTTGTGCGCTATGCAAATCTGATTGCAAAAGTGGGACATTATCAACACTTTAACGCTAGTTAACTTTGGGAGATGATACTCAGAGCAATCAACATAAACTTAGCATACAGTAACTTAAATAACAAAAATGTTTCTCTGCTGCTGCTCCGGCGCTGGCATTTGGATCCAGGCATGTGATGGATTGTGCCGTGCCTGGGAACAAATTAAAAATACAGCGCCTCAGATCACTGGTGGCAGCAGCGGAGAGGAACGGGGTTTAAACCAGAATAACAATAATGGCAATTAGACACCAACCTGGCCTGAATCATCTCTGCCCTGCGAGCAGTTATTGATTATTAATAGGCTCATATTTGCTTAGAACCCATCCCTCATCCCTCTGGTTCCCACGCCAGCCAGAACCGACCTGCTCCTGACGAATCCACATTCCAGCAGCTCTTAAATTTATCAAGCTCCTCAAAATACTCTTTTCCCCCCCACTTAAGGTCCAATTCCTAATGCCTGTGAGAATCGCAGCTATCCTCTCCTTTTTCTCCTGGAAAATAAATTTCTTTTTATCCCTCGGCGAAGTGCGTTGCAAACCCTAAAGGTCACCCTCCCAAAGAAAGGGAGGATAACCCTCAATTTGTTATATTTAAAAGCTCACAGCGGTGGGAGAGGTGAACTGATGGAGAGGACAGGACGAGTCTCCCTCGTTAGCATTCCCCCCGTTCCCCCGCAGCAACGGGGAACGATAATAACACCTTAATATCTCCCAGCGGGGCTCAGAGGAGCTGGAAAAATAGGATTTAGGGTGTGAGCTGGGAAAGAAAATAAAAAAAAAAAAAACCCTACGGCCCGCGCTGCAGCTGGAAAGTTGAAGCTGGATTTTGTGTCGCGGTGGTATTGATTGGGATGTTAACAAACCCGGAGCGCGCGGAGCAGAGGGAGGCTGGATCCCAGCCAGCTCCTGCTGCTGGCCCGGGCCTGGAATGATGCCTGCTCTGATACGGCAACAACCACTTCCCCAGCCCAGGTCTGCCCGGGGTTTCTCCTAAAAATGTTAATTAAGGCTCACACGCTGAGCAAATTACAGGGAATTAGCTCTATTTTGCATATGCAGAATTAAGGTGTGAGGAGAAGCACCTGGATGAGGGTGGCCCAGGGAGTCCACCAAGAGCTGAGCTCGGTGTTCACGGTCTGAGCCCTCCGCTGTGGCCTGAGCCTCATCTGGTCTTCTCCTGAGCTCATCATACCCAGTTCATTAATGGAACACAGGAATTCATAGTAATTATTGGAGAACCACAGAATCATGGAATATCCTGAGTGGGAAGGGACCCATGGGAATCATTGATTCTCAGCTCCTGGCCCTGCAGAGACACCCCAACAATCCCACCCTGTGCCAAGACAGAGGTTAATGGGTTTGGTTTCCAAATATGGACTCGCTCATACTGCAGAATCTTACCTATTTCCAGAAGGTCTCCCATTTCCATGTGCAGAACATGCAGTCAGTTCTGTCCCCATTCCTGTTCTCAGCATTTTCTTCAGCTGAACTAGGTGTTTATAGTGATGTTTCAGGCACAATTAGAATCTGCTTTTATTTGTTAAGACTTTTCCCATTACAGCACAAATCCCAGAGGTGCATTCTTCCTGTCACTACCAAAACTGCAAATTCCAGCTCCGTGGAGAAAATGTCCTTTCCCAAAAGGGATAAACCATTGTCCATTTATGCAGTATCCCTGGCTGAACCCTTCAGCTGTGACCTCCATTTGTTGGGATTAGCAGAAAAAACAATGGCACCTTTTCCAAAATTCAGGAGACACGCCAATACTTACAGAGAGATAAGAAGAGCACCAGTTTACCATGGCCAAGGAAATAATTATAGCCAAGGAAATATCTTCCATCTTGTGATGGCTGACTGCAGAGATGCAGCAAAGTGCAGGGATTTTCTCCTTTTGGAAGTTAGAGAAGGCATTTTGTGGATGAAGAAACCAAAAAGGATTCTACTGGACTGGGTTTGACACCAGCTCCATGGAGGATGGGCAAGGCTTGCTGCTGACAGCATCCCACCAGAGAGTACAGAAAACCCTTCTTAGATAGTTCTTCAGGGCTTAATTTATTTAAAAATAGAAAAATGTGCTCCAGCTCTTTGATAGAGTGAAAGAACAAGGCTTACACAACACCCGAGTCTTCCTGCTCAAGGTGAGGTGGGATTTACCCCTTCAAAATTCAGGAATGTTGTTGCCCAGTGCCAAAATCTGCTCCAAGGTGTCTCTGAACCAGCAGCATTTTGGGGGCACCAAGGGAAGGCTGCACATGCACCCCATGGTGACAGCTCCCCCACCCCAAAGACAAGACCTGATGGCCAAGGAAAGAGAATCTGGAACTGGTTTATTTATTCCTGTAATTTATCAATCTATTAAAGTGTCCAAGGCCAGGTTGGACAGGGCTTGGAACAACCTGGTCTAGTGGAAGGTGTCCCTGCCCAGGGCAGAGGATTGGAACAGGATTTGAGGTCCCTTCCCACCCAAACCATTCCATGATTCATGGCAGGGGGGATCTGGGGCAGCAGTGCCCTGGAAGCCAGGAGGGACATCCCTGTCCTGGGGGAATCAGGCTCAGCATCACCAGCAGGGAGAGGGAGGGGATGGTCCCACCCTGCTCTGGGGTGGCCTCACCTTGAATACTGTGAGCAGTTTTGGGCACTGCAAAATAAGAATGATCTAAAGCTGTCAGAGAGCATCCAAAATAGGCTACAGAGATGGTGAAGGACCTTGAGGGGAAGCCTTGTGAGGAGCAGCTGAGGTAATTTGGTTTGTTCAGCCTGGAGAAGAGGGGACTGAGGTCAGACCTCACTGAGGGCAGCAGCTTCTCCTGAGGGACAGCTTCAGTCTCTACTCCCTGTGACCAGGGACAGGGCCCAGGAACAGCTGGAGCTGTGTCAGGGAAGGTTTAGGGTGGATATCAGGGAAAGATTCTTTCTCCAGAGGGTGGCTGAGTACTGGAACAACTCCCCAAAGAATGGGCACAGCCCCAAGGCTGCCAGAGCTCCAGGAGTGTTTGGACGGGGATGCACAGGGTGGGATTGTTGGGATGTTCTGGATGATCTTGGTGGGTCCCTTCCAGCTCAGGACAGTCTGTGATTCTGTCATCCTGGGAATTAACTGGGGACCACCTTCCCATGGCAGGAAACCTTCTCTTGTCCCCGTGGCGGCTCGGGAGGGGAGCTGAGGTCAGGCAGCACAGAGCTCTCCTCGTTCTCACCCTGAGCAAGGGCACTCTGGCACTGAATTTCTGAAGCTGTAACAAGCCCAGCCCTGGTCCCCAGCTGCCTCTCACGGCCATCAGCAAGTCCTGGAGTGAGAGCACTTGTCCTGCCTCTCGAAGTGCAAGGAAACTGTCTCAACAAAGAGGATGAAATATTTCTCGTAGCTTTCTGTAAGTAAAGGCAGAGAAAGCAAGGCAGACAGCAGCTACTCAAACCACTCCACCCGGAGAGTCGTAGCCTACAAGAGCTTTGTGGGAATGCTGGGACAAGGCTTTTCTTGTCCACAAATGGACCTCCTTGTCCTTTTCTTGTCCACAGATGAACCTCCTGCTGCTTTGTTATCTCTGCCCAAGTTGCCTTCTCTGCCCTTCCAGCTCGTGGTTTCATAATAAAATAGTGGTCAGGTCTGTGAGGGATGAGTGAGAGCAGTCCCCCCTGGCCTCTTGTCCTGCTCTCTATCGTATCCCTGAAATCCATGTTGCTTCCACAGTGGAGTCCACGGTGCCTTGCCAAGGCAAGTGGGATGCAGGGCACCACCACCTCTAAGCTCAAAAATCAGGAATTGTGCTGTTGGGGCTGCCTTGGACCTCATTTTAAACAGGAGGAGGTTTGGGCATGATGGGGCTGTCCTCCACCAAGTGATGTCCACCCCAAAGAACCAGTCCAAAGCCCCCTCCTGCACTTGGAATGGAGGCCAAGAAAATGTCCCCATTGCTGTCACATCACCTCAAACCACTGCTGTTTTTTTTTTTTTTTTGTCACTTTGAACAACCAGAATCTGCTCTCATCCTGTGTTTTATACACGGTCAGCAAGAGCCAATCTCTTTCATAACAGGAGCACATCCAATTAAACTGGCAAACAATATTACATTTTCCTATTACTTTGTGTAGAACATCCTTTCTGGTAAAAGAGACGCCCAGAGGTTATAGAAATTTTAGGGATTTCTTTTTCAGACTCCTACATGGCTGAATCTGTGATCTCAATTTGAATTAGCTGGGACCTGCTGTTGGGGCTGTTTGTTGTTAGATGTCACCAGTGATGGTGTTGCCAGAGAGGCTGGAACATAACAGACTCAAAAGGACCTGAGGTCAAGGGCAATGAAGTTTAAAATACAACCTCTTCTTGCTTGGAGATATTTTTGCACATGTATATCCTGAACAGAAAATTCAGGAGAATAATGCTTTCAAGTGCAGTCTGAATGAAGTCACAGGGAAAAAGGCAATATATTTTGTAATGAATTCGTTTAAACAACTCAGTGATATTGTTGATTTGCTGCTCCCTGGATTGTAATTTATTAGAAATTGCTTCTGATGTTTACAGGATGCATAAAGAGCAGTTCGATGTAAATAAGGAGCTGCTGTATGGTTAAGTGTCCCTTCTGGTGAATTAAATAACTTGGTGAAAAGACTTCTTGTGTGTATTTATTCCACTTCCCACTTCAATGTCATCTTGGCTCAGTTAACCAGAAGAGAAAAATCAAGTTGCAGGGGAGCATTTCCCCATTTTTGGCAAAACCGTATTTTGATGTGGCTTGGAGACCCCCAAACTGCCCTGTATGCTCTGCTGCCCTTTTCACCCCCTTAGCCTGATCACCCCAGGGACAAATTCAGGGGTAAGATGCCACCTTGTGAGGCAGAAATGGTCCTTCCCCTCCTTCCACCACTGTGCCAGGGCCTGAGTGCTGAACCCAGCACACAAAAACTGCTGCCAGACCAGGGGGGATGGAGCATGAAGCCTCCTCAAGACAAAACTCAGGACACTTCTCAAGACTCACCTTTTCAACAGAGGGATTTACTTCATGTGGGGCTTGCTGCCCATGTAGGAATAAATCTGAAAATCTGTGCACAGCCATCTCCAATGCATCAGGCAAATCTTGCACAGCCAGGGCTAACCAGGAGCTGTAACACGTGGATTCCTTAAAGCACCTGAAAATCAATGTCAGGATCTATCCCAGAGCCATGACTTTGTCCAGAGTGCCTAAAGAGGGTAACACAGACATAATTTAGCTGGATTGAACAGTCTAATCTGAGATTTAGAGGATTGGCAATGATCTCTTCCCTGCTAATCAATTCTTGTGGTGCAAGAAGGAGCTTGGGAATGCTCAGGCTCGGTGTGAGGTGCCTCAGTTCTTCCCGACAGGTTTATTCCTCCACCACTTTTTTGTTGATCGTGATTTCATGATCATAGACCGCCCAACAGAGCAGATCTGTTTTTTTAACCAATTTACAGCCAAACTTTGCATACCAGCATTTATTTCTGCCATTAAGCAGCTCTCCTCTTAATGCAGAAACATCTTGCAAGCCCCCAGCCACGTTTTATTCCACAGCATCCCACATTTTCCCCCAGCACCGGTGCCAGTTGGACTGGCTTGCTGTACAGAGGGATCATCCTCCTCTTGCCACCAAGGCTCAGTATTCTGTAAATCCCTCACAGTCTTCAAAACACAGATTTTTTTTTTTTGACTCATTCTCCAGTGTCACCCCAGTATTCCTGAAAGTCCTTTAGGAAACACAAAATGACTCCTCCTTCAGGGCAGCATATGATTATCCTTGTGCTTTGC